CTCACTACAGTGTTAACATCTGCTATCTCCCTGTACTGAGATACTAAGTGGTCTTTGTTTCTCTGTATTTCCTAATTTTTTTTTTTTTGTCTTTTTGAGACAGTGTCTCCCTGTAGCTCTATCTGGCCTAGAATTCACTTTGCAGACCAGGCTGGCCTTGAACTCACAAGAGATCCGCCTGCCTCTGCCTCCCAAGTGCTGGGACTAAAGGTGTGTGCCACCACACCCGGCCTGTACTTTCTAAATTTTTTACAATGAACATGAACTGAAAGAAATTTTTCTTTCTGAGGAAGGAAGTATCTTCTAAGAAGAAATACAATAGACCATTTCAAGTCAGTCCAAGACCTATTTTGCTCATAGGCAGAATAAATGATTACATGATTTTCCAATGTATTCTTTCAGTACTGTACATGCAATTTTGTTTTTCTTCTATATGACTGTATCTTATTGCTAATTTACTTATGCCTTTTCATTTCTGTCATCTGCTTTTCCAAGACCTCCAAATATGGTCTCGAGGGTGTTTATTATTTCTATACAATTGCATTGTTTTATTTGTTCTCAACAGCTCTCTCACTCTCTGCCTTTCTACTTTATATCAAAAGCACTTCTTATCAAAGCCCCTGTCTTTTCTCATTCTCCATGACCTCCACAGCATCAAGGTATCAATGGATATTCAAAGCCTCAGAATAAATATGCTTTATCTTCCCAGAGCAGCAATTTTACTCAGATACGAGTGACAGAGGATGTCATTATTAGACTAAAGCAATCCATTACACTATGCAATCTAACTGAAAATTCCTTTAAATTTAAAATCAAAATAAGAAAGTCCTAATTGCTGAAGCTCAGAGGCTTAAGGCAGAGTTTCCCACTGTAGCTCTGAGAACTCTGGGACTTGACTTCCTTTCTAATATACCTGTAAGAACTCTACAATGGAGACATTTGAGAAGCAGAAATCTAAGACATCAATGTCCCTGACTGCTCATCCATTGACTATCAATATTCTCCCATCGCTTTGAAATGAGCCCTCACCCTTAGGACTGTCTTCACACAGCTAATGTCTTAAGCAAGACAATACAAGCCATGGTATTCTTCTGAATGTTGGTGTGGAAAATGTGCATAACACAAAACACGAAAGTTTAAAAAGAAGAAAACAGTTACAGGACACAGCTTAAAAGGCCACCAGTTGCTCAGCAAGAGATGCTCTGTACAGCCTGAGCAGTGGAGGTAATGCCATTAGAGTCTGCAGTCACGACCTGAAAGAGACCTGGTTTTTCAAGACCAAATACAGCCTTAAGCTGTATACATTTTAAAATGAAATACAATAGAATAAAATAGGCTGAGGGAAAAAAATCTTGGCACTATAATCTATGATTAACCAGTTTTAGACACACTATCATATAGCAAAAGAAAAGGTCTAGGAACCTATGTCCATTTTAATATGTGTGCAAGAACATATTTCCTCTTAGGCCTCTCAAATTGCCTGTAATGAAAACAGCCCCCACTAAACAAATTAAGCTAAAATAATGCTAAATGCACTCTTAAGAACAGATAGTTTTGAAAGCGGCTCTAGCTGATGAAACCAATGTTCCTTGGATGCTCTATTTACTTGCCTGATTTATTATACAAACGTCTCATTATATTTCTAACCTTTAAGACTTCCCTTAAATGCACCAATGTCCCTAACTTGTTTTCTCAATAGCTTGAGCAATGGCATCCACCACCAGGTGGAAACACTAGCATGAAACACCCGTATTTAATAAAGGGTAAAATGTTTAATTATCACTTCAAAGGGACAATTCAAGTAGAACTAATTTTCCTATTCTGGTGGCATATGGACTCCCTGTTTTGTTTTGTGCTCTCCACTACATCTGATTTTTAAAAAATCAACCCCAGTGACCAAAATCACCTCCTTTGAAAGCAAGAGAAAGGCACTAGTCATTTTATATTTTATATACTGTTTATTAATAGTCGAGACTCAGGAAAGGTATATTAAATTAACTGGCTACCTTGATATAACTAATATTTTTGAGAGGGACAGAGTAGGAATATTTCATTGCAAGAAAGAAGTCTCATCTAACTTCATAAGAAGTGCATTAACAGACCTCCTCCACTAAATAGCAATAAGCCTACCAAACCTGAATCAACATGCTGGTAATTCATTGCTGGGTTCACAGAGCGAACATGAAATAAAATTTTGAACTGGTCCTTGAATTAAATCAGGAAAAATAACCTGTTTTGTTTTTTGTTTCTTTGGGTTTTGGGGGGTTGTTTTGTTTCATTTTTTTGAGACAGGGTCTCTCTGTAGCCCCAGCTGGCCTGGAACAGATTTGCCTGCCTCTGCCTCTTTAGTGCTGGTATTAAGGGTATGTGCCACCATGCCTGGCAAGAATAACCATTTTTATTTAGCACAGTGTGTTACATAGGAGAAGCACTCAGTGTGTGTTTGATGGCAATGATGACCATACTTGGCCAATGTTTAAAATGCAGTCCTCGCCTTTAATCCCAGCACTTGGGAGGTAGAGGCAGGCAGATCTGTGAGTTCAAAGCCAGCCTGGTCTACACAGTGAGTTTCAGCCCAGCTGAAGCTATAGGAAGACCCTGCCTCAAAAAGACCAAAAAATTAAAAATAAATAACATGCATTCTTCCATCACCTACAGTTAAGAGTCAGTGATATTCCAGTCTATTCATGTCTAAGTTTTGTAAGCACTGGAGATACCATACAGAACAAACATTACAAAAATTCTTACCTTACTGGAACTTAGTTTCTAGTGAGAGTATAGAAAATTTATAGATAATAAGTAAATAGATAATAGATAAGTAAAACATATAGCATGTTAGTGTTAAATGCTTAGAGGAAAAATTGATCAGGAAGAGCAGGAAGGGAGTTAGAGCTACAGGTAGGGAGGATCAGTAGGGAAGGGGACTTCTAAGGAAAGCGTTGAAGAAAGTGTCCGTCCCACAGATATCTGAGGGAACAATGACGGCGTGTACAAAGGCCCTGAGTGAAGACTGTCAAGGAGCAGCAAAGGGTCTATGTGGTTTGGCAAAGGGGATAAGAAAACAAAGAATCAGAGGGAAGATCATGAAATGTCACAGTAGAGAGCTGTATCCATTGAGAGAGGGGAATTAGGGTTTAAGGAATGACTTAGGTTTTAACAGGCTCTCTGTGACTGCTCTGTGCAAAGTGGGCAGGAGAGGAAGGACAGAGCAGGAAGAAGAGATGTTTGAAAAGATGGAGTTTGGAATTTGTGTTCTTCACAAGGTCCCTAGGTGATTCTTAGAACCAGAAAATTTAAGAACTATGATTTTTAAAATATTTTATTATTTTTATTTTATTTTATGTGTATGAGTATATTGCCTGCATGCATGCAGGTGCACCTGGGTCATGCAATGCCCACAGAGGTCAGAGAGAGTGTTGAATCCCTTGGTACTAGATGTTATTAGCTGTCATGTGGGTGCTGGGACTCCAACCCAGGTCCTTGGCAAGAGCAGCTAGTGCTTTTAACTGCTGTGCCATCTCTCCAGCCTCAAGAACTAATTGTTAAATCATTTGAGAAATTAAGACATTAATTTTACAATCTGAGTATGTGATTAGCACTGATCAATCACATGTTTTTGCTTGCGGAGAAACTGTGTTGAAATCATGGACTAAATTCAGCTAATAACCTATCAGTTTGGTCCCCCGTTAGCAGTGCTTCAAGAAGAGAACTCCAGGGAATCTGACTTGCTGCTCTGTCAACAGGACACTCCAAAGAGGAGGTGCTTCCTCTCCTTTCTCTATGGAGGAAACTAGAGCTAATGGAGGCACAGGGTGATGGAGGTGTATTTGATAAGGTACTGAGGTACCTTACTTAGTAAGCACAAGTTTCATCATTCAGCTAAAACACTGCCTATGAGCCAAGACTTTCTTCAATTTTTTTTTTTTGTCTTTTTGAGATAGAGTCTCCCTGTAGCCCCACCTGGCCTGGAACTCCCTATGTAGACCAGGCTGGCCTTCAACTCACAGAGATCCACCTGCCTCTGCCTCTCAAGTGCTGGAATTAAAGGTATGTGCCACCATGCCTGGCTTTTTCTTCAGTGTTTTAAAAAAGACTTTCCTTTCATTTTTAAATTGAAGCAATAAACATTTGCATGCCATTCTAAATATGTAAACCTAGATCCTAAATTTAGATATTGTTTCCTATATGTATATTATGTTCTATATTATATATTCCAAATATATATATATATCAAAGTAAAATCCATGATTGTTGCTTTCTAATGCACTAATATAAATCTGTTTTCAGAAAATTTTAACAATTTGATAGTTTCATAATGATAAGTGAAATCTAGATAACACTTCATAATTAAGACAGTAAGGACACACAGGGTCTATAAACCACACAAAAATGTCTTTCTACTTTATAGTCACACTGTACATATATACACATCATATTAATTACTTTGTAGACTATTCAACAATAGGACCTTCTACTTGATTTTTGTTTCTTCACATGCCTTTGAATTATTTTAGATGCCTTCTATGATGTCTGCACACTGTAGGCACATGGGTAAATTCTGAACTAACTACTCATTAATCAGTTTAGAATGATGCAACACCAAGAATCTCTATCTATCTATCTATCTATATATATATATCATCTATCTATCTATCTATCTATCTATCTATCTAATTTCCTTGGTTTCCCCACCTAAAGCAAAAGGAAGAATTTTTAATTTTCAAGAGGATAAGCCTTGATAACTAAAAGGGACATAAATACATCAAAGTGAATTTCCTGAACCAATGATTTGCTTTCTATGAGAACATTTACATCCTGTGTTTCCCTTGAACACAATCTTCATACAGTATTTCATCACTCAGGACTGATTCAATGTGAATTTTTACAAGGACACATCATAAACTGAATTTTTAAAGCGCATTCATTCTTAACAGTGTGCTCAGAGTTATTCTTTTGGATACAGTACAGAAAGTTGATTACAAATAATGGATGCTGATTACCTTCTAGAGTAGAAGAAGCCTCTAGATGCTGAAGTTTAAGGCCGTTGTCTAATTGTTGAGGTTTTGTGTACAGAAATAAATAGCAAAGGACACAGATGCTGATGACAAAGGCGAGTAAAACAAGGGCAGCGATTCCTAGTCCAATCAGAGCACCAATGCTGAAGAAAACAGAAAAGAATCATGCCACACAAACTGCTGTGTGTGCTATCAGAACAGTGGTTTAGATGCTAACTCTTGCTGTCATTCTTTCATAACCTAATTCCATTCTATTGTGAACAGTAAAGGATTAAAATATGCTGCTTGCTTTTCCTTCGAATTCTTGTTATCTTTTCTCTATTGTTTTTAAGGGTCTTTTAAATGTATATGCTAATATTAGTATGAAGTTTATAAGCTAGGTCAAAGGTCATATGACTCTAGGTTATTTCAAAAACATCTCAACCAAATAAACCAAGTTACTAAATTAGTATTACACCTTAGAAAGATCAGTTTCACAAATGAAAGACAAATAGAAAAACACTTGCATCTGAAAAAGCTGGGAGACAAATAGTCATCAAAGACATAAAATGTTTCTTTTTGAGACATGTGCCTGGAAGGGGAGGGATGTGCAAACAAGTGTCTCTTGAATCTTGTGTGTTAATATCCATAATTAGATTTTAGGCCGTTCAAAAGCAATTTTCAGTTGGATTTCCTAAAGTGCTTATTTATAGTGTTTAAATGCTTGTAGAAAATATTAGACAGATGAAAATAAATACTAATTGACTGATGATTGATCTGCTTGTAGTAATTTGGAACACACATCACTAAAAAATAATGACTTTTTTTCATTATCTTTCTGGCTTTCGTTTAGGCTCCTGCTCTCTCCTGGGGCAAACATACTGTACCCAAAGCAGGAGAAGGGAATTTGATCAGAGGTATAAGAGCATGGCTGCTTGAGAGGAAGGAAAAACAGGATTAAAAGTGACAGGCTGCATTCACTCCATTTTCCCTTGATTTGATGATAAAACACCCCATGCAAAATAAGAGATTACCTCTTGAGCTATATACAACATGAACTTGAACTTATAAATACTTGTGTTTGGTTTATTAACATTGGCCCTGTCCCACTAGCCCTGTACACTGTGAAGACTGAATAATTTTATGGCAGAGTCTAAACAGAGCTATATATTTAAACTTGGGGGTTGCCTCATTGGACACTCTTTCCTCTAAAAGAACAGGCTTCCTTAGTCTCTTTTATGCTTGTTTGTCCCAATGCTGACTTTTGTAGATTATATCAGGAAGGGCTAGGTTCCCTTCTCTATACACAGATGTAGAAGAATATAATCAATTTAGTATTATTTGGTGCACAAAGCAGATTCCTGAAGTGAGAACAGAGTTGTTGAAAATAAGTTTCAAAGTAAAAAGTGATTTAATCAATTAAAAATTGATTATCTAGGGGTTGGAGAAATGGCTCAGTGTTTAAAAACACTGGCTGCTCTTCCTGAGGACCCAGGTTTAGTTCCCAGCACCCACCTGGAGGCTCACAATCCATCTATAACTCCAGTTCCAGGAGATCTGACACCTCTCAGATGGCCCGTGTGGGCATTATACAGGTGCATTTAAATGCAGGCAAAACACTTACACACAGAAAAATAAAAATTAAAAAATGTCAGACAGGCATGGTGGCACATGGAAGGCAGAGGAAGATCTCTGTGAGTTCAAGGCCAGCCTGGTCTACATAGTAAGTTCCAGGCCAGCTGGAGTTACAGGGAGACCCTGTTTCAAAATGAAAAAAAATAAAAGTAAAAAACGTCAATCTAATGAAATTCAACTTATGTTTCATGAACTTTTAGTGTACAGTTTTTTTTCAATTCAACTTTGTATTCTATACCAACAAATACTTATTATGGCACATATACTGTGCTTATCATTCTCAAAAACAGGAGAAAATTACTATCTGGGTCCTGCCTTTTGGTAACCTGTAATATGATTGATTACACATGTTATTGCTCTAAAAACAAGCTAGAAAATAATAAAAGACAGGAAAAACATATTCTATCCCAAAATAAAATATGCATTATTATAAGCCTCAGACATTAATTTAGTTCATAAATAGTAGAAAGCCATATAGAGACAGTGAGAAGTATTACATCAAGAAAAAAAATGTTGAAATTTGAAGATCATTGGCACTTGAACAATACCCATAGCTAACACATATTATTATGACCAAAGCCATGCTCTAAACAATTTACTTGTAATAAATTACTCATATATTTACAATGACAGTCTTATGGGAAGTTCTTAATAGAGAACTCAAGGTTCATAACTGTTAAGTACCTTGCTCAGGTAAGATAGTTTCTAAATGGGCTAGTTGGAGTTCCACCATGCTTATTTATACTATAAATTATCTATTCAGAGTCACTATACTTGAGCAACTTTTGATATAGAAAATGTTCTTCAAATTGACAAAAGGTAAAGTTTTAAAAATAACATCAGTGAGAAAAGTGTGTATATATATATCTATATCTATCTATATATATATATAGAGAGAGAGAGAGAGAGGGAGAGAGATTTGAGGGATAACAAAGGAAGTATCCTTCCCAAACAATAATTTTCATTTTTGCAAGACTTATGATGATCTAATTCAGCAGTTTTTGCCTCTAAAAGACTGATTTGAAATTACCCCAAACTGGAGTTTACTATTCATAGATTTTGTGAGGGGAATTCCAGGCATCGACATTGTCTCAAAAACTTATGGGAATAAACGTGAGTTTCATATGCTACTTTGTACATTTTGTAGTATTTCAGAGGAAAGAAAACTTTGCTGTAGGTAAGAAAAAACATTTTAAATTTTTCAATGAATTATTTTTAACACTGTTTTCAACAGATACATGTAAGACTTAGTTTGATATAACTGTTAGTATACAGTTTTTAAGTACATGATATGGAGGAAAAACGAAAAGTATGTTCTTCCTTTTTTCTGTTAAAAAGGACATTGTCATCATTTTGACAATGTTTCAATGTCATAGTTCCACATTACGGAAACATTGCTTTGTGCACACAAATCTCTAGGTATAAACTCGAAGTAAAGATGGAGCTGTAGAGGCCTCCTGAAATAGTCATTCTAACCAATGCTTATTCAGTGTCCACTCATGCATGGCCTGTCAAATAAGCCATGTTTTCCGAAGTCATGGGGGAAAGTTACCAAAGAAAACCCTGAGAAAAGGGATTTATAGGAGGAGCAGAGAAGAGAGTGTGGTAGACATAGTGATGTAGAGGGAATAGTTAAGGAAAATATGGATTTTAATCCTTGTTTTCTCTCTGTGTCTCTGTCAGAAAGGTTCAGCTGACAAGTTTGTGGTTAGAATGCTGATACAGCCAGCTAGAACCACTGGCCTTGTGTCCTGGCGAAACTTCCTCAGTTCTGTTTGTCTAAATGGAGACTTCATCAATGACTTTCACAAAGGATTTTTTTTCTTAGCATGTTTTTCTTTTCTAAATTTATAATAATTTGCCTGGTTTTAGGACTTTGCTGATAGCCAATCAATATTTAAGTTTCCTTCTCACTGTACCCCAATGCCTAAGGTATAAAATATATGTGCTACTTCCCTTTCGGGTCCAGATATTGTACAGCCTAAATAAAAGACCTGCTTCCTGTATGCTTTCAGTGTCCTGCCTGATCTTTCCTGAAACAACAGGAAAAGGAGAAGCATCCTTTCCTCCTGGCACTCCATGGCAGTTGTTTTTCCAGCACTTAGAGGTGTCTGAAGCTGCCATTCCATCCTGACTTCCTCCTACTTAGCCCTTCACTCACATCCTGGTAGCTATGGCTGTCTTTCTCCAGCCACTGTGGAATCTCAAAACCAGAGCTAGTGACTTCTGTAATATTTTTCACAGTTGGAGTATTTTAAATTAGAGGCGAAGAGCAAAGAATAGAAGAGAAATGACGCTCTAATAAATTTTCTTCCCTATGGTGTTCTTGGAGCTTAATAATTCACAGGAGCTCCTAGTTTAAGGCTGCCAATGGATGCCCTCGGTGAAGGTGATTTTTTCTATGTCCCAGGAACTGAGCTGACTGTCTATTTTGTCCTCTGGAAGGAAGCCCCCAGGAGGCTGTTCACTCCTTTGTGCTTTCATAAACCTTAGGAAAGTTTAATATCCTCTGCTGCCTGCTACTGTGGAACTATTTAAGGATTTGAAGATCTTGGGCAAAGATTCCAATTGACTTTGACTTAGGCATTGCAGCCTCTGCTGGAAGTGCTCCTGCCATTATTAACACCTTCAAAAGACGCACAAATGAATTACTATCTATTCCCTCAAAAGACCAGATAATATGACAGTGCGACGTAGCTTTTTTCCCCCAAATAATCTACCCAAGATAAGTCGGCATTATTTTCTGCCATTTTTGTCTTACTCAAGCACAGCTTGGTCAGTTAGTTGAATTGCTGGAAGGGAGGCACTCCTTTTGAGACTTCATTGAAGCTTATAATGCAAAAAAAAAGTATTCTATTGCTTCAAGAAATAAATTTGCTGTCGACTTGATATGTATACCAAGTTCTGGATCATGGTGGGAGGTTGGGGCAATGATGCTGTACCTCTTACTAGCTACTGTCTCTCTCTCTCTCTCTCTCTCTCTCTCTCTCTCTCTCTCTCGACATTTATGGAAGTTCTTTTCTATAATCTTATGACTCCATCCATTCTCTAGGCAACAAGGTCGGCAATCTTTTAGAGTGGGAGGGGAAAGCACTTCATCATGAAAATGCAGAAGTACTAATTAGAATAAGGAAAATTACTACTGTAGGATCAAGAAACAAGGCTATCATCTTTGAAAGTAAAGTCTCTTGACTTCAAGGACCTGTCAAATGGCCCAAATAGCTCAGGTGTAGGGAAGGGATGTACAGAAAAGTTATACTGCATGCGTGCGTGTGTGAGCAAAGCAACTAAAGCTCTTACCGTACCTGACTCCCTTCAGTCTTCAGTTGGGCTTTGTCAGGGTTGGATCCTCTAAAAGGAGCATGTTCCAAAGCCCAGTTGCACGCACGCGCGCAAACGCACGCACGCGCGCGCGCGCACACACACACACTCACACACACACACACACCACGCACTTTTTAAAAAATCTTTATCTTTTCTTTTTTCTTTTTTTTTTTAAGTTTTTTTAACATTTTAAGGACTAAAGTTGTTTCTTAACACCTCAATGAAAAAAGTACTCTGCCCCTTAACACCTTAAAATGGGTTCCAAAGGAGCCTCCTTTCTGTTCAAATGCAGCAAATGAACAAACATCTTAAGAGGTGTTCATACCTCTACCCTAACTTGTTTGCTTGGCGGCTCTGTCAGCAGGGCCGCCGGCTGCTGGGCAGGGGGTGGGAGGCGGGGGCAGTGGTCCGGGAGGGATACAGGGATGCGCGGGAGAGTTCAGCCGCCAGGTGCGTCCTGGGCACAGAGCCGGCGCTCCAACTGCGCTCCTAGTGCGCCCACTGGGCTCCTGGCTCCAGGTGGAGATTCCATCCGGGTGAGGCTTCCCTCCTGGGCCCTCACATGGCTTGTGAAGCCCGGCGCCCTTCCACAGGGACCCGAGTAGAGTGGTATCGCGGGAGACTTTCCCTGACTCTGGGGGTCATCTTCCCAAGCCAGGAGCGGTCACCCTGCCCTGCTCTGCCCTGCCCTGCCCTGGCTGCCCTACGCTACCTTGACCTGTCCCGCCCTACCGTACCTTGCTCTGCCCTGCCCTGCCCTGCCCTGCCCTGCCATACCTTGCCTTGCCCTGCCCTGCCCTGCCCTGCCCTGCCATACCTTGCCTTGCCCTGCCCTGCCCTGCCCTGCCCTACCCTGTCCCGCCCTGCCCGGCCCGGCCCTGCCCACCTGAGGCTCCACATGTAGCTGTGCTTGTAGGGGAAGTAGCTGCCCGGCTCGCTGCAGCAGTACTTGAGGTCTGCGAAGCCGCAGCAGTAGAGCAGCGCGGCCCCATCTTCCCGCCGCGGGCACTGGAAGGGCTCCACGAAGCTGTGGTTGAGGCTGTAGTAGCCCGAGCACAGGCGGCTGCTGTCGCTCATCTCGGGCGGCCGTGGTTAGGACACCGAGGTCTGTACGCGCTGGGCTCTGGCGATCTGGGGTCCCCGCCCGCGCTCAGCCTGCCCTTCTGCTGGCTCTCCGCGCGCTGTCCACACCGTGCTCTGCTCCCTCTCCTTCCCCAGTGGTCCCCAGCTCTGCGCTGCTCGGCCCTCTGCCTCTGCACCCGCACCTGAACTGCTTTCTCTGCTGCTCTGTTGACTCCCCTCCACTTTCCCTCACTTTATCCACAGCCCATAGCGGTTTTCACTCTCAATCAGAAAGCTCTCTCTAGAGGGAAAAAGTGGAGATAGAGGACATGTTTGCAGTCTAGACAGATGCAGCCTAAGTGTCACTTTTGTTTGCTCAGGGCCATGACAAATAGAGCAGCGCTGGCAGAGGTTTACCCACACTGTACAGACTCCAGGACACACAGCAGGTGAATCCATCAAAAGGCAGCTGAGCTTTAGTAAGGACACACGGTGTTTTTTGAGTAGAACGTCTCAATCTGCTCATTTAAAAATCAAAACAAGTAGCAACATTCTCTCAAGAAACTGGCAATGCATGTTTTCAAAACATTCCTCTGTTGCGCCTCATGTTCACCTAAACTACACAAAGGGAAGGGAAGAGACGGAGGTAAAGAGAGAACCTTCTAGAAAGGAAGGCTCCATCACTTCTGAGGCCCTGCAGAAAACCGTCTGGGATACTTCTTTCCCACATGATTTCTTCGGTCTTGAAATAACAGTAGCCGGGTGTGCCTGCTGTATTAAGTCACACAATACCTGGATATGTATGGAAGAAAATAAGGCTAACTTAAGGTGGAAGAGTGGGAGACGAACACTCATCCAGTTTCCAAGACAGCGTTGTTCCTCTTGATTTTCTGCTTCCTTTCTTTGCCCAGCGGTTTGATTGGATGACAGACATCTTTACCTTGTTGTGCTGGATATTTTAGTGCTCTGATAAATATTCCTGAGCTCTGCTCTGGGATGTAGCTTCTTGGAGACAGTTTGTTTCTTTCGGGTTTGCTTTTAAGCTTTGTTAGGCAAGACCACCATAGACTTGAGAACTAAATTTTTTCCCTACAATACCTTCTGCCTACTCTACTCTATACCTTGTGACTGGTAAAGCTCCCCCCCCCCACTGGTAGCCATCACCAATCTCCAGCTGGGTAGAAGCTTTAAGGTTGTTCCCTCCACTACCTTCATTTCTTTTCTTGCCCTCAGGTATATGCACAGGTCAGGTAGGTACTAAGCTGGAGACTGGTGAAATCCAAAGCTAGCTCACATTCATTCATTCATTCTCTCTCTCTCTCTCTCTCTCTCTCTCTCTAAAAGACCGCTCTCACTCTCTCTTATTCTCGCTCTCTCCCTCTCTCTCCCTCTCTCTCTCTCCCCCTCTCTCTCTCTCTCTCTCTCTCTCTCTCTCTCTCTCTCTCTCCTCCCACCCTAACTCTTTCCTCTTCAGTGTTACCTCCCATGGCTTTCTTAGGACCCCAGCTCCACCTTCTCATCTCAGGAAACCCACTGGGCTCCACCTAGGCTCTCCCTCCCTGTTCTGCAGCTGTAAATGCTCCAGACCAAGGGCTCGTGTCTCATGTGGCTTATCTCAGCCATTTCTTCCCCTCTCTCAGGAATCACCATCCTGTAGTATTAGTGATGAGAACCCATTGTGTTTTATAGTTCACTTATTTAGTTGTCTAGAAAAGGAAATTAAATCTGGTCCCTGATATGCCATAGCCTTGGCCAGAGACTGGACCAGATTGGTCAGGCCAGGGGGGGTGGGTCCCTTTCTTGGAACTGCAAGTCCATCCTATGGACAGGAAGGCAAAGGAAGGCAGTGAACACAAAAGAGAAAAATGAAGCAGAGGGGAGCAAAACAATAAGGGTTCGACCAGTGTTGATACTGGGCTTTGTAGCTTGGGTTCATGTTCTTTCCTGTGTCACATCATTCCTTCCTACTCTTGAGTTTCTGGAGATATCTGTTACTTATTAGCGAAAGTCTCTTTCTAATGAAAGTGCATTCAAGTTATTTATTTTATCTCATGTTTTCCTGTTTTTGAGACAAGTCTCAGCTGACCTTGAACTTGCTATGTAGCCCAAGGATAACTCTGACCTTCTGATATTGCTGCCTCTACCTCCCCAATGTGAGGATTACAGATGTACACTACCACATTCCATTTATCTGGTGCTAGAGATCAAACCCAGGGCTTTCTGAATACTAGGCAAGCACTCTACCAACTGTAGGACCCCCCAGTCTGGGGTACCCAATGTCCACAGGAGCCCGCACCCCAATAACTCAGTCCTCAGACTAGGAGATGCAACAAGCAAGAGGATTTATTGCATCTGCGCAGACGGGCCTCTGCCTCACTCAGGAAGGAGAAGCCCCGAGCTCAGCTTACAGGCTGCTTATAAAGGCAAAAACGGGAGCCCGCACCCCAATAACTCAGTCCTCAGACCAGGAGATGCAACAAGCAAGAGGATTTATTGCATCTGCGCAGACGGGCCTCTGCCTCACTCAGGAAGGAGAAGCCCCGAGCTCAGCTTACAGGCTGCTTATAAAGGCAAAAACCACAAACCACAAGCGGCTACTGAGCCAGAAAGCAGAAGCAGGAGGGGGGGAATTTTTCGGGGGATTTCCAGCTTGTACAAAGAGCATGAAAAGGTCAGCTTTTTCTCAGCAGTTAGAATTATTTTTCATTTTACTTCCTTGTACAATTTTTCTTTTGCCTGGGGGACTTAGTTTGAATCCACTTTGGCCTGGGGGGCTTGGTTTGATTCCATCATTCCCCCCTTTTCTTATGGCAAGATTTTAATCCTAAAATCTATAGGTCTTCTGTTCTTTTTAGAGCATGGTATTGCTGAGTAAGAACCAAGGCCTGAGTCACTGATAGTCGGTCCC